CTTCCTGTTTTCTTACAATGAGCACCACAATCACGCTTATACAAGCCATTTACCATATCATAAGCACTACCAATCAAACCGCCCACAAAAATCCCACAAACGATACCAAAAGCATCGCCAAACACACCACATTCGTCCCAAAACAAACCACAGGAAAAAAAGAGACTATCAACCAAAACACTTTAGAAACAAACCACAATACTTCTTAAACGCACCAAAACACCTCCAATGCACACCATTAAAACCTAAATCGTTACATTCTGCAATCTGTTTGTAAAAAAAGCACATTGTAATGCAAACCATAAATGTTATAAAAGATTCATGAATAACTACAATGCAAACCACTTTTCACTTTTCTAGCAAATATCATTGCAAGATGAAATCATTAAACCGCCCACAAAAATCCCACAAACGATACCAAAAGCATCGCCAAACACACCACATTCTTCCCAAAACAAACCACAATACTTCTTAAACGCACCAAAACACCTTCAATACACACCATTAAAACGTTAATCGTTACATTCCCCAATCTGTTTGTAAAAAAAATCATACACTGTAATGCAAACCATAAATGTCATAAAAGCATCATGAATAACTACAACCCAAACCACTTTACACTTTTCTAGCAAAAATTATCGCAAGATGAAATGATCAAGTGCTCATTTCTTTCATCATTGCTTACAGGTGTGACATCAAACAGGTCCGAGTCAGACTACACTAGTTTGGGGTTGGCATTCAAAACCATTGAGGAAGCAAAACAATTCTACAAGAACTATGCTCACGACCTTGGCTTCAGCGTGAGGGACATGGGAGCTGTCAAACGTTCTACAAAAAGACAGCCAACCAAAACAGCACGATATGCTAGGTATTGCTGCAGCAAAGAAGGATACAAGACCACAAGCAAGTCAAATCCCAAGAATAAAGGATCAATAGATGTGAAGGCTTATCAACGTGCTGTACCAGAAACTAGAGTTGGCTGCCCAGCTATAATCAAATTCAGATATGATATCGAGAAGGATGAATGGCTGCTGGACAAGTGGATAACAGAACACAACCATGATCTCCTCCCTCCAAAATTCAAACATCTCTTGAGGTCGAACAAGGGGATCTCAGAAATGCATGCAATGGTCGCAAAAGTGCATGCAGATTGTGGAGTTTCACTACGGAAATCATATGAGTTGTTCACCACAACTTCAGGGGGGAGGGAGAATGTACCTTTTACCCCTCATGATCTGAAGAACTATATCACAGGGACAAGGCAGAAATCAATGAAACCAGGCGAAGCAACTATACTTCTTACACATTTTCGCCGTGAAGCTTACAAGAATCCATCATTCTTCTATGAAATTGAGGTAGATAGTAACGAAGATATTGCAAGTATATTCTGGGCTGATGCAAGAATGCGGTTTGACTACAGTTGCTTCGGAGATACGATCAGCTTCGACACCACATACAGGACAAACCAGAATTATCGTCCACTAGGTCAGTATTCCTTGCACTGGTTTGCTTTGTGAGGTTTGTGGTTTTCTTTGTGAGGTTTGTGGTTTCTTTTGTGAGGTTTGTGGTTTGCATTAATAGATTTCTGGTCTGCTTCCGCAAATGTTGTGGTTTGCTTTGTGAGGTTTGTGGTCTGTTTTATAAGATTTGTGGTGTGCATTAAAAGGTTTGTGGTTTGCATTAAGAAGGATTCCTTGCACTAGATAATTTTCTTGATATTTCGAAATTGAATGCAAACCAAACATTACGCAATGCATACCACAAACCTCCTAAACCATACTAAAAACGTCCTGAAGCACACCATATATATAAAAAAAGACAGCCTTTGTTTGTTTCAATGTTTAATTCTATGTTGTTCTTTTTTTTATTTTTAATTTACAGCTTTGTTTGTTGGCTTCAACCACCATCGTGCACTTTGCATCTTCGGGGCTGCTCTCCTATATGATGAAACAACCGCTACATTCAAGTGGTTGTTCGATGCATTCTTGAAATGTATGTCAGGCAGCCGACCAACATCAATATTCACCGACCAAGCTGCTGCAATCGCCGCTGGGATTAGATCCGTCATTCCTGAAGCATTCCATGGCTTGTGTACTTTTCATATCAAGCAGAATGCAATGAAGCATCTCGACACCACAAACACAAACATTCTAGAAGATCTACAATATGTCACTTTTGGAGTAGAAAATGAGGAAGAATTTGAGTACAATTGGTCAAGGTTGCTAGACACATATTATCCAGAAGAAGGCACCAATCCAAGGAACTGGTTGGATTCAATTTACAAGGTGAGAAAACAGTGGTCTTCAGCATGGATTAAGGACCACTTCACAGCTGGTATGCGAAGCTCACAGCTGAGTGAGTCTTGTAACAGCAACCTCCGAAACTACCTTCAACCAGATGACAACCTAGTTGAGTTCTTCACATACTTCAACAAGTTGCTCAAACGGAAAAGATCAGACGAAATGGACATGGATTATCAAATGGCAAACACAGTCCCAAACAACATGTACGTATTACTTCCTTTATTTGAACTTTTTATACTGTAGAATGCATCCACAGAACAGTTGAATACAACCCAGATACCACCTAAACCAACCCAAAACCCCTACAATCCACACCACAGACAACCTAATCCAAACCATAAACACCACAATGCACACCGCAAAAGCTTAAACAACCCAGATACCACCTAAACCAACCCAAAACCCCTACAATCCACACCACAGACCACCTAATACAACCCATAAACACCACAATCCACACCACAAACAGTACAATACATACCATAAAATCATTAATGTAGACAAGATGTTTTATGAATGATTTTATGTTGTATGTCATCTTCCAACAGGTATGACAGAAGCCCACTTGTTCAGCAAGTCGCAAAATTATACACAACTAAGATCTACAGTTCTTTCCTTGAGGAGTATTCAGAAAGCCTTGCTTTTTTTGTGTTCCGGAATGAATCTATGGATAGAGATGGAATGACAGCTTATGAAGTGAAGAAACTAGGAGGATTCGGCAAAAGAGTCGTGTTAGTGAACAAAGAGGAGAAGAAATACAAGTGCTCATGTCGTTTGTTTGAAAGTTCAGGCTGGTTGTGCAGACATGTAATCAGGCAGATAGAGATGGTTGGATTCAATGGTGATGATATTGAGCAATTGACTATCCCTAAGGAATACATTCTGCCACGATGGACGAGAGATGCCAAATCTGGAGAGAAGTTCACAATAAACACAACAGAATGTGCTGCAACAGATACTTATGCAGGGAGGTATCAAGAACTGTGTGCTAGCATGGTTATCCTAGCAACAAAAGTCTCAATGAATGACAAGGTCTTCTCAATGGTTAAGGAGAAGATTGCAGAGCTCACTAAACTAGCTTTCCAAAGCCTTCAGACTCAAGAAACTCAGCAAACAGTACCTGGTAATTTCACACATCTTGTTAGCATCCCTACTTATATTCACCAGTAATTGCTTAATCCAAGCCACAAATGATCTAATGCAAACCATAAACATCTTAATCCAATCCACTAATTGCTTAATCCCTACTTATGTTCACCAGTATCTTGCATATTGCTTTTTCAACAGATGGAACCACCAATACATCACCCTCACAAAGCGCTGCTGCTTCAGCTACAAATGACAAGTATGCCAATGTGAAGGGATTCAAGGCTCGAAAAGACCCATGGAAATCAAAGAAGAGGCCAAGAGGTGGACTTGAGGTAGCACTGGAGAGGGCTAGAAAGCAAAGAATTGATGAACAGGCCGCCAACAAGCGTTACAAAAGCAACAATGAGTGATTAGTTTCCTTGTTGTTATCCGTGTTTTTTTTCTGTCATAAACTTTTAGATTTCAATGACAACTATGAGACAAATATGAACAGTTGCAGGTTTTTGATAATATTTGATCAACACAGATACAGTTGAATACAACCCAGATACCACCTAAACCAACCCAAAAACCCCACAATCCACACCACAGACCACCTAATCCAAACCATAAACACCACAATACACACCGAACAAGGTTAAACAAACCACAGATACCACCTAAACCAACCCAAAAACCCCACAATCCACACCACAGACCACCTAATCCAAACCATAAACACCACAATGCACACCGAACAAGGTTAAACAACCCAGATACCACCTAAACCAACCCAAAAACGCTACAATCCACACCACAGACCACCTAATCCAAACCATAAACACTACAAACCACACCATACAGGAAAGAAAACAAACTACGAAACCTCTTAACAAAACCAAACCACAAACATATGGAAACTTTCCAGAACACTCATTAAGCAAACCACTTATGTATTAACACAAACCACTTGTCTTATAATACACACCATACACGACGAACACAAATCCTCTTAATCAACACCATTAACACACTAAAACACATATTAACACACTGAAATCTGAAACTGTTCTTGCAAATGCATGCTAAAATCAGCTAGTCCACCTTGCGATCAAACTCCAAACTCTTCTTCTTCACCTCTTCAAGTACACTGTTCTCCTTGTTCAGCAGCAATGTTAATGTGATCTCATCCCGCCTCTGATTGATTTGTCTTTGCCAATTCCTCATAGCTGGATGCAGTTTGCCATCCCAAAACTCAGCAAAATTCATAGTAAAAACACCACAGTCAATCCCACCACGTTGTCTCACCCCTCGCTGTCTAACCCACTTGAATTCTTCAAATTTGAAGGGCTCTTTTCTGCAGGCAGGAATGTATTCTGTGGCATAGCGGACCACCATATCCGCAACAGCACGAAACTTGGAATCAAGGTCGTCAGGGTAAAGGCTGTCAAGATAATCATACCATTTGTTCTTCAGATTCACTACATACATCCTGTAGTGGTCATCAGAACAGTGGGGGAACATCCACTGCATGCAGAACAAAAACAAGTCAGTACTCCAAAAGCACAATGAAGAAAAAACACACATGAAACAATCTAGCAAATCTGACTAAAAAAATACATACATAATCACATTGTGAGAAATCCAAACCATCTGGTATCCACTTGCAACTTGTAATAATTTCATCAGTCTCTTCAAAAAAATTAGGCAGTGGTCCTTCGTTCTTCACTATCCCCTGCACTCTTTGCTACAAGGTAGAACACAACATAAACACAGTAAAACAAACCAGACGTATTATAATGCACACCACAAAAACCCTAAAACAAACCAGAAGTATTATAATGCACACCACAAAAACCCTAAAGCAAACCAGACGTCTTATAATGCACAACACAAAACCCTTAAACCAAACCAGACCTATTATAATGCACACCACAAAAACCCTAAAACAAAACAGAACTAGCAGAAAATGTAACTCACCGCCAGCCCTGAATAGAACACCCATCTTTTCAGTTGCCCTCTTCTCACTTGCTCCCGATTCAGATAGGCAGCATAGCAGTCAATAACATCCACACTCACACATTTCCCATGTGCCAAAGTCTCTGTGTCCTTTCTATACAAGCAATCGAATCCATCAACGCGACTGAAAAGGATTTCCTTCCTATTTTTCATAATCCATAACAAACAAAACAGTCGGCATTAGAAAAGTACTAATAAGCACTATATAAAAAAATATATACAAACAACCGCATATGTATGAAATCTATACACATTAACTTACAAGTTATTCGAATCCCTTGCATATCGCAACACAGCACCCTTCAACACATCAATATCAACACCGGATGAGCTTCCTGCATTCTTCACTTTAAATTTTTTCTGATTTTTAAAGCAACCCACAAATTAGATAAAACAACACTAAAAACAACTAACACAAACCAAAACTGAAACATAGTACAACAAATTACCTTTGTATAACAAATTACCTTTCCCTCCCTAACTAGCTGACTCAATGTTAAATCTCCACTACCATCACCACCCTCAAGCACCTCACCGGCATCAGCTTCTTTCCTTTTCTCATCAACCACCACATCTTCACAAACATCCCCCATAGCAGACTACAGAAACCAAACCACAAAAGTGTTTAACAAAACCAGATATATGTAAACCACACCACTAACAAATGCAAAACAACCAACTACAAAAGACATGACAAACAAACCAAAAACAGTATAATCCACACCACAAATATTCAAACACAAAACAGTAAGAATACCTTTACGACCTTCTCAACCAAGTTATCCAACTTAGCAGCATCAACACCATCAACATTGTCATCTCCATCATCACCTTGTCCCTTTTCCTCACAGCTGTCCATCTCCATCACCTTCTTAGCATTCTCAGAATCAGCTTCTTTCCTTTTCTCATCAACCACCACATCTTCACAAACATCCCCCATAGCAGACTACAGAAACCAAACCACAAAAGTGTTTAACAAAACCAGATATATGTAAACCACACCACTAACAAATGCAAAACAACCAACTACAAAAGACATGACAAACAAACCAAAAACAGTATAATCCACACCACAAATATTCAAACACAAAACAGTAAAAATACCTTTACGACCTTCTCAACCAAGTTATCCAACTTAGCAGCATCAACATTGTCATCTCCATCATCACCTTGTCCCTTTTCCTCACAGCTGTCCATCTCCATCACCTTCTTAGCATTCTCAGAATCAACACTTTTTTGTGTCATCTCCATTGTCAGATTATCAAGATGATCATCAAGTCCCTCCGAATCTAACACTCCCTTAGGAGAGGTATCATCATTAGCAGTGCCAGCAGGATCATTGTGACCAACATCTGGCACCACAACATCAACACTACCAGCACCATCCTTATCCATCTCCATTGACAAATCATCAAGACCCGGGGACTTTGGACTGTTAGCACCAGTCTCATCATCAGCATTGGCAGCAGATGCATTGCGACCGACATCATTGGTTCCCTTAGCAACAGAAACATCATCAACTCTATCAGTGAAATCGACATTATCTTCAGGACTATCCTCTGGTTGCTGCCCCTCCAGCATCTTTATATGATCATCAACTTGTTCAATGCTCGAACTGTAATGAGCAGCCATCCTCAACAAAGCCCTCTTATAACTTTCCATGTCATTCTTCAACTGATATGCCTACAAAAACACGAAAACAGCCCAAAGTTACTGAACAGCCCAAAAGCAAACCATAAACCTTCTAAAGAATCTCACATTCCTTTTAATGAACACCTAAAACACACTTATACGAACCACATATGTTTGAGTTCTCACAGAAAAACACCTACCAAACGATGAGTACCATAAAATATTCCTTTAACGAAGTAATGCAAACCACTATTCTTTTAATAGAAACCACAAGTACACTAAAGCAAGCCAAAGAACAAACAACAGAAAACACAACTAACCAGCACATGAATAAAATAAAGTATTCCGTAAACAAACTAATGCAAACCACTATACTTGTAAAGCACACTGAAAGTACTCTAAAGAAAGACATAAAACGAATAACACAGAAAAAATCACTCACTTCTTCAACCGAATAACACCATCCAAGTTGAGGTCAAGATGGGGAAGCTTCGGAAGATCCCCTTCCCTCACCATATCAAGATCATCTACCGGCCTTTTCCTCTTTGAACCCCGCACACGTTCTCGTCCCATTGGTTGACTGTAGGTTGCTTCTTCTTCCATCACTACATCTCGATGACCAATATTGAGATGATCTTCGTCCATCAGTACTTGAAAAGCAGCACTTGCGACTTTGTACGACCTATGCTTACAGGTCGGTATGGGCAGCTCAGGGGGGTTCTTCACACGGTCAAGAATCGAAATCTGCCACATATACAAACAGACAGAAGTCAAGCAACCACAAACAAACTGTGCCAGAAAGATTATAATACACACCACACAACCAGGGGGGGAGGGGCAAAAGCAAACCATAAATATTCTTAAACAAACCATAAACATCTTCAACCACACCAGATTCGTCAATAAACAAACCATAAATGATAAACAATAGCAGAAACATTATAACAAAGGGGGGTAAAGCAAACCATAAATATTCTTAAACAAACCATAAACATCTTCAACCACACCACATTAGTCAATAAACAAACCATAAATGAAAAACAATACCAGAAACATTATAACACAGGGGGGGGGGCAAAAGCAAACCATTAAAACTCTTAAACAAACCATAAACATCTTCAACCACACCACATTCGTCAATAAACAAACCATAAATGAAACAGTAAACCAAAATTCGAAAAGGGGTATATTTATTCACTTACAAAAAGAAGATGAACGTCACCAGGGAACTTTGACTTTGATTGAACCACTTCAACCATACTGTCATTAAAATGGTCAGCCACATGCTTACACCAATTATATTGGGTGAAGTCAGCAACCATTTCATCTTGCAAAAAACCAGCATAGGAGAGGTTAATCTTCAAATTTCCACTGGGACACAGAACTGCCTCCATTGCATACAGTACAAAAAGATCCCTCCACTTCTTATTGTCCCTCTCCTCTTCCAATGCCAGTTTAACATTTGCCAATGACGCCTTTCCTTTCTTAGTATTGGAAAGCCCTAACTCAATTCCCCACCTGTGCCTCTGGGCTGCACTGAACATATCCAGCTTAACAACATACGGTCCACGCGGCAAACCATAGACTCTCTCCACATCTGCCTCTCCAATTCTAAACTTCCCTGACCGTAGCAGCGGGAAAGACCTTGAACTCACATCAAAGCTTTTGCAAAGCCATTCAATAAAATTATCCGGGAGTCTCGTAAGCTTAACCCTCGACACACCCCTAAAACCCAGAGGATCAAGCATCTGCAGTTTTTCTTCACTTGTACTGTCAGCTTCCATGATGCCAAGAATACGATTAGTATTACTACGATGCCTCTTATCCGGCTTTCCAGGCACAGGAGAAGCACCATCTTTCTCTCGCTTAGGTGTTGCAACTTTTTCTTTTTCTTTCCCCTTTACTCCACCATCTTTCTCTTGCTTAGGTGTTGGAACTTTTTCCTTTTCTTTCCCCTTTACTGCACGTTTCTTAGCAGGTGCCATGCCTACAAAGCAACCAAAACACAAACCAACATAAGCAATCTCATACCAGAACATATAAAATCCAAACCATTAAGGGCCTAATGCAAACTGTAAACCCATGAAAACAATCCAATAATCAAATTTAAAGCAGACAAACAACAACTCCAAATGAACCACCAACATCACCCTGGAAAAACACCAGAAAGGCCCCAATCCAACCCACAAACACCCTAAATGTCACCAAACACAAAGCGCACCACCAAAAAAAAAAAAGAACAAAACAACAGAACTACTGAACACCACCACAAACGACTCAATAATCAGATGTAAAGGAGACAAACAACAACTGCAAATGCACACCAGTAAATCTTCTAAACCAAACTGTGAAATCCGAAACACAAACCACAAAACCTTTTAAAAGAACCACCAACAGTAGCCTGAAAGTACACAATAGTTTTATTAAAACCCTCCAGAAAGGCACCAATCCAACCCACAAACACCCTAACTGTCACCAAACACAAAGCACACCACAAACGACTCATGAGAAACCAGAAACCCTAAAATACACAATAGTTTTATTAAAACCCTCCAGAAAGGCCCCAATCCAACCCACAAACACACTAACTGTCACCAAACACAAAGCGCACCACCAAAATATAGAAAAAAAACAACAGAACTACTAAACAACACCACAAACGACTCATGAGAAACCAGAAACCCTAAAATAATCAAAGCACACCACAAAAATGAAGAAACATCCAACAAAACCTAACCAGAACGCACAACTATGAAATTTCCTCGTCTCCTTCAACAAATTTAGACTGCATGCGTCAAAACATCGCAGAAAACTGGAAAACGAAAGTAACAGAGGGCAAACATGAAAACGAAGGTGGTAAATTCAATAGCAGAAGCAAGCAATGACAATGCTAACGAAAACGAAAACGGCGACGCCAAACTAACACCATACAAGTGGAACTCCGGCGACGCTAAACGACAACGGCGACTTCGCAGACCAAAACTGACGACGGAGGAGAAGACAGTTCCAGTTTATCGAAGGAAATCACCGGCATACCTCGAAATTCACTTCGGCGACGAAGGAAACAGAATCGCGCGAAGGAAATCCACAAGCCGCAGACGAAATCGCTCGATGCAGATGCAAATTTGGTGGCGAGAACAGGGAGACCGAAGCAGACGTCCCGTCGGAGAGCAGTTCGTGAGCAGTTCGTGAGCAGAGGGGAAAGGGGAAAGGGGAAAGCGGAAAACTGAAATGTCTCAACGCGCGCTTCAATGAATTTTATTATTATTTTTGAATTTCAAAATTAATGCCAGGTAAAAGAAAACAATTATTTAATTATTGTGCAGTTATTATTGTGCAGTTACCCTTATACCCCTGTTGTTATAATAACAACACCTTAGGTGTTGTTATGCTATCCGGAGCCTTTGCGGTGATAGCATGTATCCTTGATAACATCCTTCGCTTGCTTGAGACAGTCAGTACTAGTCTTGCCTTGAGCCGCATCCATCCACCTATAACCGTAAACAGGCAAGCCATCGCAATCGTTCTTTATGTACAGCTTGCCATCGTCGGTTGAGCCGCTGGTGGTCAGGGTGTCTAGCAGGTCATCCACGCACTGGAGCTGGGGATCATCGCCGTCGTCGAACACGTCCGGGTTGCAAAGGTAGTCGAAGATGAAGATTGGTCGGGCCGCCGTGGTATGAACAATCATGGGCAAAAGTAGCGATGCTGAGAAAATAATAATGATGAGAGCTGATAATGGTGATCCCATTTTCTTGGCTGTTGTTTTCTTTGTGTTTTTTAGGCTGGTTGGTTAAGTTTCTAGCACCATATAGACTCATTTTTATAGAGTTGGAGTATTCACGCTAATTAGGAATGACAATGGGACAGGTTTGGGGCGGGTTTCTTGGTACCCAGACCTGCCCCGTGGCAGGTCGGGTACAGGTCGGGTAATTTATTACTGGTCGTGGGTCGGGGCAGGTCGACCCGCAATGGGTATGCAATTTATATGAAAAACATTAGAAATATTCGTTATTTTTATTATAAGACCAAGAAAACAAACAATATTGTGATAAATGTAGTTAAATTATTGGAGAAATTAAGGTTTTCACTAATTTACAACTTTATTATTGCTAAAATATGATGTAATAAAAGAAAAACCTAAGTAAGTTGACTAAGATTACAAGTAATTTAGACAAGAACGGGTCGAGAAAGGGGCAAGTCAGGTTGATAAGAGTATCCATGCCCGTCCCGCCCCGCCTATGGGGCGGGTTGGACCCATCTCAAAACAAACCAAACAGGTTGAATAAAACGGATCAGATTGAAATTGTCATCCCTAACACTAATCCATAGATAGTATGCCGTCTATGATTAGGGTTCCATCAAGTCTGCTTTCGCCCTTTCTAATCCCGCATTGTGCCTGGTACTAGGGAAAATAATGATAATTAATGTCAATAATTAACGGGTAAATAATATGAAGTAGAAGCCAATGAAAGTAGGTCTAGTATATGGAAACGTAGGTCATTCCGTTTTGGGAAATATTTACGAAGATCAATTTCATTGGGTTTGTTAAAATGACTCGAAGATAAGACGTAACTTGGAAAAAAAGAAAGCACCATCTTTCTAAACTCTAGCGCTGTACTACGGGTCGGAGTCATAATCCACAACGACGACATAGGGATCACCGGAGTAGTATGTATGCAAGTCCTCTCGTTAGAGAAGGTGGCCAAAGTTGAAAGGCCGGTGGGGAAAAAAATGATGATATAGAAGACAGACAAATTTAACCGAGTATATATCAAAGTTAGGCTTGGCAACTTTACCTATACCCAGGGTTTATAACTATTCAACTCATTTGGATTGGATTTGAAATTCAAATAAAATGTAAATGGATAAAGTTAGATGGGTCAATATCCATGTTTATGTTTAGTTTACATGGATAAAAAAAACAAAAACCCAAATAATTTAAAAACAAAAACAAAAACAAAATAAACCAAAATCTCTATGTTCTCTCTCTTCGCTTCCTATCTGTGCTCTCACTTGAGAGTCGACATTCTCTCTGTCTCTCTACTATAGGTGTCAAAACATGACCCGACCCGAGTAACCCGCCCAACCAACCCGATCCGCGACCCGCCCGCAACCCGATTGGACTAAAAGTCAAAGACCCGCAACCCGCCCGACCCGTAACCTGCTTGACCCGCAACCCGCCTGACCCGTAAACCGCTTGACCCGCAACCCGCTTGACCCGAACCTGATTGACCCGCAACCCGCCTGACCCGTAAACCGCTTGACCCAAAACCCGCTTGACCCGAACCTGATTGACCCGCAACCCGCTTGACCCGCAACCCGCTTGACCCACAACCCGCTTGACCCGCAACCCGACTAACCCGAACCCGATTAACCCAACCCGAACCCGCCCGATTGGCACGAATAATACTACATAATATATTTTTGTGCATAAATATTATATGTAGATAATATATATATAAAGTTACGTGACTTGCCCTATTATTTTTTCTTCTTTCCCACCAAGAACAAAGGTTTACTTTGTGTTGACAAATAAAAACTGCCATTCAGTTGAACCAAGTAAAAATAAGTTCGAATTGTAACAAAAAAATTGCGTGGACTAGTTTAGTTGGCTTCTGTGATGGTCTTTCCAATTCAAGGTACATGAACTACAAGAAAGACATAGTTTAGAAGAAAAACATAGTTTTGACCAGCAGAACCAGAGTCACCGCAAGTCAAAATTTTCACCGCCGGCCAAAATTGCTTCCAGATCGACGCTTCTTCTCTGCCTGGCCAGATCCTAGATCGATGCTGCCTCTCCGCCTGCCCACTGTCCTCTGTCACACCCTTTCGCCAAACCAAGGTTGCGGCGCCGAAAAAGCAATAGAAAGATCAAGCAAAACCCACATCGACCGAAGGTTGTCGAAGCCGGCCTGAAATTCCCTCCACTGCCTCGTCAGATCGTGGTCGTCCAATCTCTTAATCGTTCATCACTGAAACCCCAAAAAAATCCAAAACATGCAAGCACCAAGCCGAACAATTGGAACTCTCAAACCCAGAACTCGACCCTTTGAAACCCAAAATATACAACCCTCAAAATCCATTCAACTGGCCTCTTTTCATCCTCTAAATCCAGAAAATCAAGAAATCAACACCAGTCTTCTTCGATTTGGGGAAGCGCAGGTGAACGAGCAGGCAGAGGTTAAGGAAAAATCCCCAGATCAAACGCTGGGAAGACAGATCGAGTGGTGGATCTTCTTCGGTTGTTCTCCAAGGTGGCGAGCGATTCCTGGAGATTGAAGGCGGTGGCGATTGCTTGCTGCTCGATGAAGAGGAGGTCTCGATGGCGGCAGGGGAAGCGCCGGAGAGGAGGAGAGAGGGCAGGGGAAGCATCAGAGATGAGGAGAGAACACATGGGAGGAGAAGAGGGTTGCTGGGTTTGTGTTTTGTTCGTTGGAGAAGAGAGAAGGCAGGGGAGGGGGAGAGATGGGCACAAGGAAGGAGGATCGTGATATGTTGGGTTTCGGAAAATGAGTAAAGATTAAATAATAAAGGAAATTGGAATGGGTGGCAAATGAAAATTAGAATGGTTGGGGTGAAATTTTTGGGCGGGTATGGAAATTTGGCCGCTAAAATTTTGGCGGTCATTTTAAACACTAATAAATTTGGGCGGTAAGTGGAATTGTGTCGGTTCAGAACAAAATCGATCAAAAGCAAAAATAGTTGTGTCGGTTACAAGTAAAACCGACTCAAATATGCTGAAAATTGTGTCGGTTTAATTTTAACCGACGTAAAATTGGAGAAAATTGTGTCGGTTAAGTAACCGACACAAATCTTCGACACAAAATAGAATTTTAGTGTCGGTTAAGACCATTTTTTAAATTTATTTTATGTCAACGTATACATAAAAGTCACTTAATGTATAGCATAGTTAGTAAAATACGATACGGAAAAGTTACGTATAAAATACTTACGGGTATTATACTTTGTCTCTTAGTTAATGTTATGTTTAATAGTACGTTAATAGTTATAAATATATAAAACTAATTACTTTTATAAACAAATCAATATGTAAAAAATAGTAAAGTTAATAATTCATTTCATTAAATACGGATATTAAACGTGTTATTAAACGGAGTATTTACTAACTATGATGTATAAGGTATACGGTAGTGGACTCGTGGTTTAGAGTTCGGAGGATTAGGACGTATGTTCTTCTCAATAACTGAATACAAAATTGACTTAACTAACATTCTTCACATATCATACGTTATAATTTATACTTTATACCAACAATTTCATAACGCATAACTATAGTTCATGGTTTAAGGTTAGTGTATAGGGTATATGGTAGTGGACTCGTGGTTTAGAGTTTGGAGTCATAGGACGTATGTTCTTCTCAATAACCGAATATAAAATTGACTCAACTTACATTCTTCACATAACATACGTATAGCTTATACTAACAATTTCATAACATATAGCTATAGTATAGGGTATAGGGTCATTGTTTAGGGTTAGGGTTTAGGGTTTATTCATGGTTATGCTTTATGTTGGATATTTTGATTTTTATAGTTTATTAATTAATTTGATTTTAACAAACTAGTTAATTGCTATAAAATTTACCATCTATAATAATAAATATCAAAGAAAGGAAGAACTAGATGTTTATGGAAATTTTTTGAATGCAAAATTCAAAACCCCCAAATATTTTCTCAAAAATTCCCTTGCAAACCCTTTTTTTTAATAAATCCCTCTCATAAACCCCCTTCCCTCCAATATTTGATCCAAAATTGAAAATTCCCTCCTACCTCCCCCAATATTTAATCCAAAATTGAAATTTCCCCACATCCCAACCTAATTGCCGCCCACAGTTATATGAAAAAAGACAATTTTGCAGAATTATGTTAGTAGTTGATTAAAATGTGATCATTTTGAGGAATTATGTTAGTAGTCGATAAAAATGTGTTGCTTATTCACAAAAAAATGTGTTGTTTATCTAGAATTATGTAAGTAGTTTATTAAAATGTGTTAATTTTGTATAATTATATTAGTAGTCAATTAAAATGTGTTGATTATCTAGAATTATTATAGTAGTCAATTAAAATGTTTTAATTATGTAGAAGATAGAATCTTGTTTGATTGATTATGTAATTCTTTTCTTTTCGTTTCTTTTTTTCATAAGCAATGGACGTCAGGGCTAGAAGAAGCAAAATTTGGGAGAATTTCACTCAAGTTGAATCAGAGGGGGAGGTCAAGCTTCAATGCAACCATTGCATGAAGGTTTTTGGACGCTGTCCTAATAAGAATGGGACAGTTTCACTGTGGAGGCATCTTAAGATGTGCAGTAAGAGAAATCTTCAAGATTAATGGAGCCTTATGTACTTTTCTGTATTTCATTCTATTGTATTTGCTTAAACATCATGTAATGGTCTCAACTATCTAGACTCAAGAGATTGTTTCATAGGTTTATCATTTATGATCAAGCAAGTTGTCAGCTTTTTAATTTCTTATGTTGGTTTTTTAACCTTAATGAATCCTTTGCAACATCAAACTTGTTTATGATATATTCAAGCAAAATCTAGTCACTCATTTGTTTAATAATGTATGTTCATGTTTTTTTTTCCCATTGCAATATGATGATCGATGAGTTTGTTTTAAATTAGTGTAGTAACTAATTATTAAAAAATTCGATGGTTTGGACCGAAAAACCCGCAACCCGACCTGTTGTAACCCGCAATCCGATCAACCCGAACCCGATTGATCCGCAACCCGATCAACCCGTAACCTGATCGACCCGCAACCCGATCAACCCAAACCCGATTAACCCGCAACCCGATCAACCCGCAACCCGATCAACCCGAACCCGCTTGACCCGCAACCCGCTTGACCCGCAATCCGATTAACCCGCAACCCGACTGAACCCGACTCGAACCCGCCCGAACCCGCCCGATTGACACCTATACTCTCTACCCATCCTCCGTCAATGAAGGAGACAACTGAGCTATAGGGACGCCACGACGTCAGCGTCGCGGCCACCGCCACTAGCTTGAACGTCGACGCCCCGACCACCTCCGATCTTGGCATCCCCTCCGACCCGCTGGACCACATCGCTGTCCAGTGATACCAAAAACGCACTCCGATTTCGTGACTCACTAGAGATACCAAAAACCTACTCCGGCAGTCGATCTGTGACCAACATGTTTCTGAAAGAGAGAAGGTAATCCAGGTACAGATTCTTATCAAGTAGGCTATGCTTTTTTATTAGCTTTGAATTGGGTCTCATTAAACTGTTAGTTGGTGAATCATTGAGCTGTTTATTGTCTCTCTAAGTTGGTGAATGATTGGGATATTTATTGTTCTCTCTTCTCTGTTTGAAGGATTAATTTTTAATTATTATTTGGTTAAATGATTGTATTGTTGAACTAGTGATTGATTGATTTTTCTAGGGAAACATTGCTTTAGAAAGTAATGATGATAGTCTATTTATGAATCATGAGAGTAGTAATCATGGTCAGTCTAGTGTGTCTTCTAGTCGTATGGTATGATCTTCTGAGAAGCAGTGGTCTGAGATGTGGAAGGAATATGATCGAGTTGGAGTTAGTGGGTTGAGAAAAGCTGAATGCAAATACTGCCATAGAAAGCTTGCTGCTACATCCACTTCTGGAACTTTTCATTTGCGCAATCATTTGTTGAAATGTCCAGTAAAAATGTTGATTCAGTCATGGTTTTTGGACTTTTTGGTAGCAAGAAAAGAAAAATTGGTCCTGAGAGTTCGAGTCCTGTTGTTTTTTTACCAAGAAACTAGTAGAAGGGAGTTTGCTTGTATGATCGTTCCTCATGAATTTCCTCCATCGATTGTTGATTATGCTGGTTTTAGGAGATTTGTGTATTCTCTTCCGCCGTTATTTCAAATGGTATGTATAAATACAATCTAGAGTGATATTTTAAAGATATTCAAAGAGGAGAAGATGAATGTCATGCATGAGTTAGAAAAAGTCAGGGTGGTACAGGAGTTATGTACATATTTTGAGGGTTAACTATGTGTTGACTCTTATATTTTATTCATTATATAAATTACTGATTGATACATTAACATGATAACTTTTTCAGTTTGTGGGAGCACAAAAATAAAAGAGGGATCGTCCGTAGGCCGTAGCAAAATCCATGAACGGAAAAATCATCCCAATTACTTGTGCTTACTAATGAACAGTAGATCCCCCAGGTTACTTGCTCTTTAAAGATATAATAATAATAATAATAATTATTACCAACATAATTCCCCCCCCCCCCTATTTTGCTATATTCAGAAAAATAAATAAAATATTTATTTGCAGTACTCAATAGCCAAATTACCATTAAACTAATTTTGATACAAATTAAAAGAAGAGTATGGTTGACGTGATACTGAAATTATAAATTCTTATTTTGATTTAATTTAAAATCTCCGTTATGGAGCAACTCATTATTACAATCATCCCTTTCCCTTGTCTACCCCATGGAAACAAAAACAAAAAAATACATTATCACTTGAAAGCAAAATAAGGACTAAATAGTATAAATATATAAAACGATGGAACATGGTATATGTATTATTAGTATTATTATTTGGGTTGCACGTGGCATACATATATTATACCTTATATGGGTTGGGTGGGGATGATTAAACATATACGTAATTATGACGAGGCATTCCTTCAATTAATAAGGGCGCTGGGCAGGGACGTTGCCCTTGGGATCGTAGTTGCAAGTGACGAACCACCAGCCGTTGTTGCACTGAACCCTGCCGCACCCTAACTTCACCGAGTTCGCCCACACCACCTGCGTGTAATCCAAACACTGCTGCCCTCCCACGCACGCGTTCGACGCGTAGTCGTAGTACGGTTTCTCCGCCGCCCAGAGGTTCACGGCGGCGGTCCCGGTGAAGACGGAGCTGCTTCCTTTGCCTAGGTTCTCCCCGTAGGGACCTCCCGATTTGACCAAGCTGCAGTCTGATATCCTGGCGTTGGCGTAGTTCTGGGCGTATGCAGCCACCGTCGCGTCCCACGTGATGTTGGCCACCCCGACCTTATAAATAGAAAGAATCGTACGTGTTATTATTACTAGTCATACCATACTGATACGATCATATATATATTATATACTGCAGACACAAACCTGGGCTCGAGCAGCATTGTGGGCGTTCACGTAGTCCTGCGCCGTGTTCTGAGCATGGGAGTGGTGACAGAGTGAAGACATTAACATGATGGAAGAGGTTGCTGCCACCATGAACTGGAGAAGGCCGTGACATGTCTTGGTGGAAGCCATCTTCATATTATGAGTATTTTTTTTGTGTGTGTGTATTGTTGTAATGGATGATGGGAATGGGAGAGTAGAATGCATGTTTATATATATAGAGCGCGCTAGGGTGAATGGTGGTGGAAGTTGAGTTCTCATGCTGAAGCTGAACTGAGAGAAGAGATGCAGCTTGCTTGCATTGACTTGGCGGTGCCGTTTCTCTCAAGGAGTTGGAGAGGACGCAGAGGTTGAGTGGGAATTAAGGGAAAGCCATATATAGATCCAAAACTTCCGGAAACGGTAAACCAAACCTCACTCGTCACCTCACCTAACGAGTTCAGTTTGGATAAATATAAAATACTAAACGTTATTCTTATAGTTTATAAACCGGTCAGTATTTAACGATTTGGGTTTGTCAGATTAAAATCCCAAACAGCAGGGGGGAAAGATCGACTACTCAACACATACCCGCGCGGGAAAAAAAAAAAAAAAATTTGGTTCGGTTTTGGTTTTAATCAAAATTACTTGTATTGAAGGTTATTCTTGTAGTTTATAAGCTATGCTATTACCGGTTTGATTGACCAAACCGGGTCGATACGTTTACCAGCCCTACCTGCCTAGATATAACGATTCAGTCCACGGAAGCTTTTTTGTCTCCCGTTTCATAACTAACAAGTTGTCATTCTTAAAAATAAAATAAAAAATGTTACTTCCAAGGATCCAAGTTGTCATTCTAGCAAAAAAAGAAATCACTACCAAGTTGTCCCTCAATCAAAACAAAAATTACTTCATGCCAAGTTGCCACCTTGTTCATTTTTAACGGCAGTCAACATGTTGTACGTACTTTGTGTAGAGAGGAAGGATTAGAGGCAGTTTGTTATCGAGTATGGATAATCATAGTGAATGAATAAACTGCTAGCCTTTTGAGTTTTGGTGGAATAATTGTGTAGCTGCTAAACTGTTAGCCGAACCATTACCCATTTGTACTTGGCCCATTGGCCCATCACTCTTGTACAGCCCATGCCCATGCACACACGTCCCTTTCTTTCTTTTCTGTTAGCTCGGCTGAACCCTTTATTAGGGTTTACTTTTCTCCATATAGATATCTTGTATACCATTCCTAGATGATTAATCAATAATAACAGCAGCTCGAAGAGTCTTGAGGCTCTCCCGTGGACTAGTCCTGATCACTCAAAGATACCACATAAATTCGTGTCTCCGTTATTCTCTAAATTCCGTTAAGAATGTCTAACATGGTATCAGAGCCATCTTCCGGCGATTCGTCTCAATCCGAAGAACTACGACGTCTGGGAATTTCAATTTCGTGTTTTCGTCGAAGGCAAGGGTCTGCTCTCGATCCTTGATGGTACTGCCAAAAAACCGGTTATGCCACCTGCTGCTCAACAAGATATCGATCGTTGGGTCATGAACAACGCTCGAGTAAAGACATGGATCCTAAATTCAGTCGATCCCTCTGCTGTCGAGATGTGGGCTCATCTTGCGTCGACATACACTATCACCGGTTCTGCCTGCTAGTTTGAATTGGAGAACGAGCTCGCTATCTTGAAGAAAGGTGATCTGGATGTTGCATCGTTTTACAATGAGGTTGTTCTCCTCTGGACCGAGCAAGACATATTGCTCGCCTCTCTTCGTCCCGCTTTGTTCTTGGCCGATGCCGAGGCTGAGCGCCACTCTCTCGTCTACTCCAGTTTCTCATGAAGCTCAAGCCCGAATTTGAGCTCGTTCGAGCCTCATTCCTCAACCGGGAAAATTTGCAATTTGATGGCGTTTTGGGGCGTCTCATTCAAGAAGAGACTCGACTTCGAACTCAAGAGAAGTTGGATATTCGCCCGGGCGTCAGTGAAGCTGTTTTCGTTGCCGAGGCGCATCTTCTGATGACAATCCTGCCTACGCAGCACATCGACCCAATTTCAACAACAACGACATCCTACCTCTGAATTGACTTGCCTGTTTTGTGAGGAGAAGGGCCACGTTCAAAAGCATTGTCGTAAGTGCAATTTTTGTGTCTACTATAAGCGAACGTGGCATATTATCAGTGATTGTTGTACTTTGAAATATCGGACAGTTGCTGGAACTACGTCAAGGCCACTTCCTGCTCGTCCTGATTGCGTGTCCTTCGCCACCCAAGCTTCGAACTCTGCTGTCTATTTGGTTTCCTCTGACACAGTGGAGAGGTTAATTCAAGCTACTCTTCAAAAATCCTTTCCCGCCGCCATTAATTCAGCATTTGCCTCTCTTCAGGTTTCAGGTAAACCGTGGCTCCTTGACTCAGCGTGCTTTAATCACATGACTAGTGAGTCTAAGAAGCTTCAGCATATTCGTCCGGTTAATGATTTAAGATTGCAAGTTGCCAATGGCGCGCATCTTCCGTTTGCAGGTGTGGTTTTCTTGATCAGAAGCATCTGCAATTGCCTAATGTTCTTCATGTCCCACAACTCTATCCTAATCTTGTTTTCGTTGGGCAGCTTACTGATGAGAATTATTCTGTTTTATTCGCACCGTCTGGGTGCTTTGTACAGGATCTGACGACGGGGAGGCTGATCGGAAAAGGGAGTAAGCGTTCTTCGAGTCAATCAAATTGGGTGCTTGTGCTCCAATTTGTAATATCTCTCTTCTCTTTCTAGAAACTCACCCTCTTCTCTTTGGTTTAAGAACCCTAGGTATAGGTTTTGGTTTGTTGTTGATGTATATGACAAATTCCATGTTTGATTGATGATTTTACTTAATTCATGGATGTTTTCATGAATTGCATGAGTTGGGTTTTCATTTTCAACTTTTGAGCTTTTGACCTAGGAGGGAGAAAATCCCCTTAGAGCCCATTATTGGTGTCTTTAGGTCAATCCTCATCTTATATCGTCCGAGTAATCCCTGAGGGAGTCGATTCGATCAATCTCTTACGATATAGGGTTGGCCTATGTTCAATAGGGCACACCCCATTCATTGATTCGCCGTTTCGGGTCAATCCCGAGGAAGTCCATCTCCTAACAGTAGAGTATTTGAGTCGATTGAGCTAGGAGTATATCCAACATCGATCCAAAGGACGGACCTAGGAAGATTCAACCCAAGGGAGGTCCAAACCTTGTAAATAGCTAGGTTAGTGGTTAGTTTACTTTATTAATCATTATCCTAGGTTGGATAGATAACGAACCCTAAACCCGAAGTAGGGTTACCTAGATTCCCGTGGTTAGATAAATCATTATTGCTTTCTTTCCCTATGTTACACCCGGTCGGCGGTTATATCGGGTTACTCCAAAACTGTCTTTTAAATCCTTGTCAATTTTTTTAAACATCTCACCAATTTATTATTTATGAGTGATTTTATCATTTTGGGAGTGACATATGAAATGGAACGGGTCTACCCACTAACCTAACCAACCCGACCTAAAAAATATCGGGTTAAATGGGTTTCGGGTCATTCGGGTTTTATATTATAAAAGCTTCTTTTTTCGCACGAGTTCAGGTCGGGTTGTAATTTGCCAGGTCTAGCTGCTGGACAGCCACCTCTACTGGTCAATCTACTGCGGGCCAGGTGGAGAGAGTTCAATCTACTACGGCCAGGTGGATAGAGCTGAAAAAGCGGCATGTGAGGACAACTACACATGACCATGTGTCTAGCTGCCTTCTCCTTTTCTGGGTTCGTCAGATGACCCAACAACTACTGCAAACAAGCCTCGTGCGACTCCACCGTTGTCAGTTTTTGATTCGAGTCTAAATGCACACATTTATCCCTCATTTCTTGATAGTTTGACATTGCATTTCATTGTCTCTCGATCTATTTTACGCTAGGATGTGCTTTTTTGTCATATTTCAGGTCTTAGCAAGTGTGGGAATGTCGAGGACGAGTTTCGGGTCGATTGGAGGTCGAAAAGCACGAAAAAGTGGAAAAAAGTCCGAAGTCACGGTCGCTAGACCTGACAATTGCCTCGAGACCGTGAAGTGCAGAGGTTCCAACGCAGTTTTCGGCTTCAATGGACTCAAACCAGTTCACGGTCAGACCGTGAACTCAAGCCAATGACCATGAACTAAGTTAGTGAAGCTGCGCGTTTTGGCCCGAGGTCACGGTCCCCGCCTTGAGCTCACGTGCGTGAACTAGGACCATGATTTGAGCCCGACCTGGGTATAAAAGGGGAAATGACCTGAAGGAGAAAGTGAGCTTTTCTAGGGTTTTAGTTTGAGAATAAAAGAGGATTTCAAGTGAGAGATTAAGGTTCCCTCTTCCTAAACTAGAGAGAGAAAGTGTCATTCAAAGGAGGAAGAAGGAGATTGAGCTCATTTCAAACTAGAGGAGTGAAGGTTTCTTCTTATCAAGGGAGATTCAAGCAACAAGGAGGAAAGATTTTCATCTTTTCATGGTTCTTTTTCTCATTTTCCTTGTTTTCCTTTGCCTAGCTATGGAATCGCATACCTATTCACTTGGGTGTTTGTAAACCCTAGCTACAATTATGTGAATGCTTGTATGGATTGACTGATTTATGTGTGTGGTTGTGTTAATGTGAATGTGGAGATATTATTCATGAATGATTGTGTTGTGTGAAAGCCTATCAATCTAATTGTCATTCTAACATAGGTTATAGAGAAAATCCCCCTTCCTTTCTTTAAAAGAGACTTGAATGCTAGATTTTCTTAGGAATTCATTGTCTCCTATCTAGGATAATGTAGGGAAAACCTCCTATTTCGTATTAGCACCTAGGGTTAGGTTGTGGGTGGCCGTCCGAACTCCGATTCGAGGGTGAAGTCTAACCAACCCTTAGTCAATAGGTCGAGAAAGTCACGTTGGTGGCTTGGATAAAATTCTCTTTCCTCGAACCAAAGACCAAGAGAATGGCACTTGGCTACTTGTTGCACTCCCCTACGGTTTACAACCCCCTTACCACGCATGACCATTCGATCCAACAAGTCATAATTGTTAGCTAGGGGGAGCAATACCCGGGTGAACTCTTCTCTAATTGAGATAACCGCGATTTACTTTACTTGGTTGTTTTCATTTGTAGGTTTCTTAGTTTTAAACCCAAAAACGTTTGCTAGATAACAAACTAAACGATTGAAGTATGGGTACTTGGACCGG